CACTAAAAAAAAATATATCGTATCTGTTACTTTTTACATTTAAGTCCATTTGAATCATAAAATTTATCATTTTTTTGAAAGCATATGTTATAAATCTATGGTTATGCTTTTTTTAGATATTTTGTAAATGCAATAAATATCTTTGGAATAAAGGCAAAGGAGGGAGGGAGGGAGAATAAAAGACAGATTGAGAGAGAGGAGGAAGAGGAGGAACAGGAGGAGGAGGAGGAAGAAGCAGAATCAACTTAGAGAAATGCCTGGGTAAAAGATGCTTTTTCTCCCTTGGCTGGGACAAGGAGGTGGGTGAACAGGAGATTAGAATGACTAGTGATACCAACAAGGGCCAGAGAGTGTCAGCGATGGAAAGAAAATGTCCTCCACACTTATTTACACATGTTGAACCTGACTCCTAGGCAGACTGAACAGCTGCCTAAAGTCACACAGTAATTTACCAGGGACCCTGACCCCTAGCTCAGCCTTCTGATCAGAAGAGCACAAAGAGCTGCTTTTGGCAGAGAATGATGCAAGGGGTAGAGAAGGGGCAGGAGGGACCTGGAAGGATCCTACCAACTCTGAGATTCTCGGGCCTCAAAAATATACTTTTAAAGATCATTCTGTCCATGAAGTTCTCGTAATCAAAGACAAAAGTTTGGAGTTGAATAAAGTGCATACTGGCACCGAGTAGATGTTCAGTCACCCATATCAATGCATGTGGATTGTCTTTGTCAAAAACAATAATTAAGAGTTCCTCTTTAGATATGAGGAGTGCTAACTGCAAGAGCTCACCTGAGTGGCTTATGGCAATCTCAGTGTCTAGGATGGTTGAGCAGATGCCAAGGACAGTTAGCCCCTTGGTGGGGTAGCAGAGGGGACTTCACAGCTGGGGACCCTCAAGCATCAGGCTCTCATACACCTGTAACATGGTGACAGGTGGTCCAAGAAGCCAGTGGGCAGGCAGAATGATGGTCCCCCAAAGCTGTCCATGCCTGGCCCCTGGGAATGTGTTACCGTATGTAGCAATAAAGAATTGGCAGATGTGATTAAATTAAGGACCTTGAGATGGGGAGATTATCCTGATCCAGGTGGGCTGCATCGAGATCCAGGAATCTACAGAAGTGGAAAACCTTTCCCGATAATGTCAGAGTCAGAGGGAGACGTGACAATGGAAGAAGGGTCAGAGGGATGTAGTGTTTCTGGCTCTGGAGATGGAGGAAGGGAACTAGGAGCCAAGGAACATGGGCAAGGTCTAGCCCTAGACAAAGCAAGAAGCTCCCTGAACAGAGCACAGCCCCGGGGACACCATGGTTTTAGACCACTCAGGCCTGTGTCAAACTCTGAGCTATAGAGTTTGTAAGACAATAAATCTGTAGTGTTTATACCACCAAACTTGCGGTGATTTGCTACAGAAGCAATGGAACACGAGTGCGGTCATGAACGCCCACACCCAGCCGCACACGCGCCTCTCAATTCTCAACATGTCCTGCCTTCCACGCTGCTTTGAACAGCCCTCCCGGCTGCCTGCCTGAACCCCCTAGGAGTAATAGGCTGCTTTCTACCATTATTACCCATTTCTGTCCTGAGTGACTAAAATCTTCCCTGTTGTCAATGGTTCTGTCCTGAAAACCCAGCTCCCGTTCCAGGTCCTACAGGAAGATTGCCTGGCCAGCCCCATCCAGCCCTTGTGGGTCCTAAACTCAGCAGCCATGTACAATGTCTTCACTGGAAAGCTTTTGCTTCATATCATTGTCATCATTTCTGTCTGTGGCTGTGGGGCTAAGTGGGTAGCATCCATAAAGACTGAGCTCTGAGAGAAAGAACTGACTCAGACTTTACTGGGGAGCCCAGTCCTCCACCATCCAGTCTTCACCTTCATCCCCAAGGTGTGTGTCTTCTCAAAGGAGTCAGAGGCAAGCCCTTCCATCTGGCCAGTTCCCAAGATGTGTCTAGCAAGGGACCCTACCTCTGGGAGGAAGATATCTCCTCATAAGCTCACCGTTTCAATTCCCCAACTTCTACAGATGAGCCTGGAGAATTCGGACAAGAAGGTGCTGTGGTCCAGGGTCTACATTCCTGCTTCCAGATCTCAAAACCCTAGATCTGGGAGGGAGACAAAAGTCTCTGAGTGGAAACTTTGGTGCTAACCCTGGCCATGAACCCAGCTGCCATAAACTTAGTCCAGCTGGGAAATTCCTTTGCACCTGTTTTGTCTCATTTTCCTTCCGTAATTCCAGGAGGAAGGAAAGGGTCAGGAGGCAGACGTCGCCATGGGACCGATTCTATGCCGTCAGCTGTTTAGGTGTGTCTAGATCTCTTTCCCTTTCTTTATTCAGGTCTTTTCCTCAAATGTTACTTCCTCAGAACAGACTTCTCATTAATCTAAAGAGTAACACCAGCCTCTCAATCCCCCGAGGACTGGTTGCCTTCCCATCGTTCCCACAGAGATCACTCCGCTGGAGTCTAAGTTCCCATCCGGCATAAGCTCAGCTCTGAACCTCAGCAAGAAATCACGGGCTTGGAGACACAGTGGATAGGGAGAACCAAGAGCGTTCATCCTTGGGAGACCAGGGACAGAAACAGCCCTTTCCCCTCCAGTCTTCCAAAGGACGTGTGTCCCACATCCCAGCCCCTGGACTCGTGACACAGGGGAAGCCTTTATTTAAGATGTCAGTATAAGGGTTGGAGACATCACAGCTTGAGGAGCCGCCCACCCAGATGTGCCACCCTGCTGCAGCTGTGCAGAAGCCCCAGTCCACCCCTGCCAGCTGCAACACACTGACCAATGGCAATGGACCACATACCTTGTGTTGCTCATGTCACAGAGTGGACCATTAGGCAGGAATCTCTAGACATGAATTTCTTAATGTGAGCGGCTCCAGAAGGAGACACTGCTTAGTGGCTCAGGTAAGTGGCTTAGAGTTGATGTGGGACAGGCTCTGTGCTGCACAGACATCAGGATGGGCTTGCATTTCATCAGTGCTAGCTGTAGACCTTCGATCTGTTGTGAAGGATTGCTGGTGGGGTGGGTACAAAATGATGGAGGGACAAACCCTCTTCTTTAAATTGGAATACCATTGCCCTGGATCGTGTGGCTCGGTTGGTTGACCATTGGTTGTCTCATGCACCGAAAGATTGCCTGTTTGATTCCTGGTCACGGCACACGTCCAGGTTATGGGTTTGATCCCCAGTCAGGGTGCTTATAAGAAGCAGCCAATCAATGTTTCTCTCTCATATTGATCTTTTTCTCTTTCTCTCTCCCTCTTCCTTCCTCTCTTTCTAAAATCAATAAAAACATATCTATTTTTAAATTTATTTCTGTTACTGATGTTTCTCCTATTTTCTCCCACTGACACCCTCCTCCCAATCCCACCCTCCCCCTTACCCCCAGCATTATTGTCTATGTCCTTGTTCACGCATACATGCATATAAGTTCTGTGGTTTATCTCTTCCCTCCCCTCACATCCACCTCTTCTGAAGTCTGTCTGTCTGCACCCCACTTCCATGTCTCTGGGTCTGTTTTGTTCCTCAGCTTGTCTTGTTCATTATATTCCACAAATAAGTGAGACTGTGTGATATTAGATGTACAAATTGGAATGCCATTGTTGATGGTCAGGACACAGCTGCAGGTGCAGTTTTTACAGGCCAGAGTGTACCTAAGCACCGTATTGATTTTCTTTGAGAATTGGAAGTTTTAAAAAGTATCCTTTTGGTCACCTAAAACTCCAAGGAACAGCATAAAGCTGTGGAAATATTTACACACAGACACACACACACACACACACACACACACACGTCACACACATGTTGGCCCTAAAGAAGATGGAGAGATGATGGGCCAAGAAAATGTGGATTCACTGGCAGCTGTGACAAGGACAATGAGAGCAATGACAACTGCCTGTGGAGCATGTAGCTGTCACTGCACTGAGCAGCTTACTCATTCATTCTCTGATGCAGCCCTGGAAGCTAATTCTATCATTAGCTGTGTCTTATCACTGAGTAGATGGAGGTCCAGACAGGGAAGTAATAGAGAGGAGCAGGCTTATATTCCACAATAAGCAAGTGTCAGACCAGAATTCAAACCCAGTCCCGGGTCATGCCCCCAGCCACCACGCGAGAGTGAGGGGAGTCGGGAAGGTGCAGGGGACATTCTGCAGAGGCCAAGCAACACCACTGGGCAGAACGCTGATGACCTTGCAGGTACTGGCAGAGCACCGCCTGGTTCTGAGGCTCATCTCTGTGACCCCGTGTCCTTTCTGCTTCCTACCGTCACAAATAATACCAGAAGATCTCCCTAAAGAAAGCTAATTTATTGACTCAAAACTCTGACTTTCCATTAATTGCATGATGATAGCTGGGGCGCTGTGAATGAATGATGGTCCCCAACAGAGAGGCACCCCAGAAAGACGTGAAGGCACCCTTTAAAGGAGGTCCTGGTGCACAGCCTCTGGGTCCTGACACAGACCCCCGCCAGCAGCACCAGCACTCGGGGACTTCTGCGTGACTTCCACTAATTCTCTCCCCTTCTTTCCATGTTCCCTCTTCTCCCCATCTTTTTCTTTTTCTGGCTTTCCCTCTCACGTAGCGGGCCTTCCTCTCTCACTTGTTTCTCTTGTGTCTCCTCCTTGACCTCTCCCTACATGCCCATGTCTGGTGCCCTTTGTCCCCCTCTCTGCCCCTCTCTGTTTTCCTCCTTGTCAGTGGCTTTCCACTCTCTGCTCTATGACTCCCTAACTCTCTTTCCTATGGTTCCCATACTTGCATGTTGTTGTCTTTGTCTTTCTCTCTCTGCCCTTCTGTTTATCACTGACTGCCTCCTTGCCTTGTTCACCCTGATCTGTTTCTCTGTCTCTTTGTTTCCAAGTCAGTAATTCTCCCTCTCCCTCTCTCTGTCTCTCTGTATGTATGTATCTAGCTACCTGTCTGTCTCTCTATATCTGTCTATCGCTCTCTCTGCCTCTCCTTCTGTCTCTTTTCCTTTCCATGCAGGACCTAGCCCCTGGATCATGGCAAATCTGAGCCACCCTTCCGAATTTGTCCTCTTGGGCTTCTCGTCTTTTGGTGAGCTGCAGGTTCTGCTCTATGGGCCCTTCCTCATGCTTTATGTTCTCGCCTTCATGGGAAACATCATCATCATAGGTCTGGTCATAGCTGATGCCCACCTTTGGACTCCCATGTACTTCTTCCTGGGCAATTTCTCCCTGCTGGAGATCTTGGTGACCACGACCTCAGTGCCCAGAATGCTCTCAGACCTGCTGGCCCCCCACAAGGTAATCTCCTTTAGAAGCTGCCTGGTCCAGTTCTACTTCTACTTTTCCCTGGGTTCCACCTCCTTTCTCATCCTTTCAGACATGGCCCTCGACCGCTTTGTGGCCATCTGCCACCCACTGCGCTATGGCGTTTTGATGAGGTGGGCTGTGTGTGTGCGGCTGGCAGGGGCTGCCTGGGCAGCTCCCTTCCTAGCCATGGTGCCCACAGTCCTCTCCCGAGCTCACCTCAACTATTGCCATGGCAACGTCATTAACCACTTCTTCTGTGACAATGCACCTCTGCTGCAGCTGTCCTGCTCAGACACCAGCCTGTTGGAATTCTGGGACTTCCTGCTGGCCTTGGCCTTTGTCCTCAGCTCCTTCCTGGTAACCCTCATCTCCTACGGCTACATTGTGAGCACGGTGCTGCGGATCCCCTCTGCCAGCGGCCGACAGAAGGCGTTCTCGACGTGTGGGTCTCACCTCACCTTGGTCTTCATTGGCTACAGCAGCACCATCTTCCTGTACGTTAGGCCTGGCAAGGCACACGCTGTGGACGTCAACAAGACCATAGCCTTGGTGACATCAGTCCTCACTCCCTTTCTCAACCCCTTTATCCTCACCCTCCGCAATGAGACGTTCAAGGCAGTGCTACGGGGACAGACGCAGAGGCTGAAAGGCCTCCACAAGGCCCTACACTGAGGCCCAGGCACCCGGCCAGGCTCAGTCAAGGAGTTCTGGGAGGCTGCAGAGGACCAGCTGGCTGGGAAGACCACGGCCTGGTTTCTTTAGACTTTTTCCCTCTGTGCCTCTGAGTGATGACGACAGTGGGGCCTCTGTGCTCCTGTCTGGAGCAAAGCGCTCACAGACCATCATGCAGGTGCTCCCCACACCCACTGGCAGCCGCAAGAGCTCAGCAAGTAGCCCCGAGTCTGGGGGCCAGGGTGGGGCTTTCTGTAAAAGAAAGTACACGGGCTTCCTATTCCAGGTAGAGCAACAGGTCATGTTCTCTGATTGAGAGATACGCAGGCACAGGTGGGGTGTGTGCCTCTGTGCGTGCGCATTTGTGCGCCTGTGTGTGTGTGTGTGTGCGCGAGCCTGTGCGCCTGCGTGTGTGTTTGTGCCTGTGTGCGCCTGTGTGTGTGTGTGTGTGTGCATGTACGAGCCTGTGTGCCTGCATGTGTGTATGCGCCTGTGTGTGCCTGTGTGTGTGTGTGTGCGCGAGACTGTGCACCTGCGTACATGTGCATGTGCGCGCCTGTGTGCCTGCGTGCGTGTTTGCGCATGTGTGCGCCTGTGTGTGTGTGCATGTGTGAGCCTGTGTGCCTGCATGTGTGTATGCGCATGTGTGCGCCTGTGTGTGTGTGTGTGCATGTACGAGCCTGTGTGCCTGCATGCTTGTATGCGCATGTGTGTGTGTGTGTGCCTGTGTGTGTGTGTGCGTGTGTGAGCCTGTGCGCCTGCATACGTGTGTGCATGTACGAGCCTGTGTGCCTGCATGCGTGTATGCGCATGTGTGCACCTATGTGTGTGTGTGCATGTGTGCACGCCTGTGCGTTGGGTGCCTGTGCGCCTGCGTGCGTGTATGTGCATGTGTGCGCTGTGTGCCTGTGCGCCTGTGTGTGTGTGTGTGTGTGTGTAAGATTCCTGAAAGCCTAGTTGGTCCCATATTCCCTTTGGAATGAAACATCAGCTCCACTGACTGCACTTTCCTCCCCCCACTGAAAATTTTTTAAAATCTTCCAGTTACTTTGTCCTCAGAGTCATTGTATTCTCGTAGCTTGCACCCAGCCTGGGTTTTCTAAAATAGCCCCAACTTAAAATATGCTGCCAAATCCTTTCTGCAAACACAGTTTGACTTACCAAACTCTATTTCCCAATCAACTACACTGACCTCACTTATCAACAGTACTGCTAGCGGCACTTACTTTAAAACAACAAATCTATGAATTTACCGCAAATGTCAAGCTTTGCAAAAGTCTGCTATGTGGAAATGAAAAGGCAGGGAATCGTGGGCTCATGGGGTGGATGCAGAGTGTGGCTTTGGAATTGTGGCTCCCTTAGTGGTCCACTGGCGTCACCCCAGGCGAACCCCTTCCTAACCGAGGTACTCCTTTCTCTGACATTCTGGAAAGTTCATTTCTTTCATGCTGAGATGCTCCTCACCCAAAGGACAGGTTCGCCTGAGGTCCAAAATCTTGTCTCCTCTAATTACCCATCAGAGCAGTGACACTGGTGTTTGCTGTTGCACCAACTGATTGATTTTCTCTAATTCTTCTCCAATCACCACCTCAAAGAGTAAATGTTTGTAGAATAAATGAAAGAATGAGGAAGAAATTAAAAATAATTCTACTGATCATACATACCTTAGCTGAGTGTGTGTATATGCAAACAAATGTATGTGCATTTTTTTCATGCTTGACGGACCACCTTTACATGTGTTTTCCATTTGATTTTATCCTCACAGTAATTCAGTTATATAAAGATTCACCAATTACTCACCATGAGTGATGCTTTCTTCCTCCACAGTGGCCATTAAAAAATCAAAGACTTGTGGGTTCCAACCTTAGGTGTCTCTGTCTGTGTGAGGGTGCAAATTGTAGAGTTAATTCTAACAGATTTTGATAACGGATTTTCCTACTGATATCAAGTGCCATGAGAGCCCCGAAGGGAAATACTGATTCCTGGGCTGCAGCCCAGCAGTTTCTAAAGCACTCATCAATAAGCTTGAGGGGAAGCATGAGGAAAGAATTGGTCAAAGCAGCGGCCGAGCTGACAGCAGAATCTGAATCTTCAGACTTATCACCTGTCCATGCTCGGAAATTCTTCTTCCATCTGGATCAAAAGCAGATTCATTAGAAGTTGGAATGTCCAGGATCTTTTGCCACTAGAGTCCTCTAGCCCCTAATTCATGTGTATCCACTAAGTTCCCGTTCAATGTATAGACTCACAAGGGCAATGCCTCAAGTAACTCCTCCATAATAGTAATTATATGTTTAATAGCCTCGCTTGAAAGAGACACATACTGTTTCTAAAAGCCACTAGAGAGTCTGTATCACTTTTCAAAAGATTTGTATCTTATCACAAAAGTATCCGCAAACATTTGAAGGGTGGCAACTAACACTTATACATGCAAGAAATATTTTTATTTGGTGCGTACAGAATGTTAATTGCGTGATTGAGTCACACTTTCTTTACTATAACACCATTTTCCCCAGGAGATGAGAACAATTGATCTTATTGTTAGTTTACATAAGGCGATTTGATAATAAAGTCATTGTACAAAGGGCGACAGTCTTCCCCAGAGGTAGTTACACTGGAACATAATTGTGGGGTCAAAGGACAAGACTGTTTGTAACACCCAGAACTAATTTTATTTTTTATTGCAGAGAGAGAGGAAGGGAGGGAGGGAGGGAGGGAGAGAGAGAGAGAGAGAGAGACCTCAGTGTGAGTGAGAAACACCGATTGGTTGCCTCCTGCAAGCACCCCGACAGGGGATCAAACCTGCAACCTGGGTATGTGCCCTGACTGGGAATCGAACCTGCCACCTTCTGGTGCATGGGACGATGCTCCAACCAACTGAGCCACATAGGCCGGGGCCACCCAGAACAAATTTAAATATAGGTAGAATTCATGACTCCAAAATGCCTGCCCTTCTTCCCCACCCACCCTCCGTTTGTCTGGCATCCAGCCCCAGAGATAAAGTGTTCTACTGAGCAACCATGAGAAAGACAGGCTTCTGAAGGGCTAACATAAGAATCCACTGTCACACATGTGAATCCCAGTGGGGAATCCAAAAAGTAGATTTATTCCTTCCAGTTGGGAAGACTAAGGAATGTGAAACTAAGGGTACGCAAGTTTTGATGTGGGAAGATGAAGAAATCAAGTCATTTTTTCAAAACAAAGTCGGGCCTGGGTCTTGTAGTAACCCTGCCAACATGGGATATTTAGCAGTTTGATGAAGTATAAAACCCTCTAACACAGGGCTTCTCAACCTTCCTAATGCCGCAACCCTCTAATGCAGTTCCTCATCTTGTGGTGAACCCCAACCATAAAATTATTTTTGTTGTTACTTCATAACTGTAATTTTGCTACTGTTATGTCTTAGGCGACCCCTGTGAAAGGGCCGTTTGACCCCCAAAGGGGTCGTGACCCACAGATTGAGAACCGCTGCTCTAAGGCCTGGGTAGAAAACCCCAGTGCTGTTGTTGGAGCGCCAGGTTCATATCATTTTAGTTCCCAAGTCTCTTTTTTTGTTTGCTTAATGTTTGTTTTTGTGTTTCTATTTAAATTTTTTTTTTTTTTTTTGGTTACATTGGTTAATAAAACTATAGAGCAAAAAGGCGAAGGGATTAAACAAAACAAAGTTCACAAATTCTGTAAGCGTTAACGTTCCCAGTGTAAATATAATCCTTGCAATAATGCTTAACAGATACTGAAGAAAGGTGTTAGTGATCCAGTGGTCCTCTGGTAAATGTTGAACTACCAGCTATCCACTTGTATTAGCTGACTTCCAGCACTTGCCAATGTCCATGGTGTTAATAGTCCCATCGTGCCCAATCAAACTACCAACATGATACTGCTGCACTTGGACTTGGGCAGAGATGCTCAGCAGCACAACATGATGCAGTGTTGACACTGTACTTATCCAAATAACACAAACAACTTCATAACACAAAGGTAAAATGTAGTAAAATAAATAGGCGTTGGAAGTTTTCATTACCTTTGTTTTTTTGGTTTTGTTTTTTAATTTTTTCCTTTGTTGGTTTTAGAGAGAGAGGAAGGGAGAGGGAGAGAGAGAGAGAAACATTGACTGGCCGCCTCCTGCATGCCCCCCACTGAAGGTTGGGCCCACAACCTGGGCATGTGCCCTGACCAGGAATCAAACTGGTGACCTCTTGGTGCCAGTGAGCCACACCAGCTGGGCTACTATTTACTTTAATGATGGCTATGTTCAATAATCAATTCTCAAGAAGGCTCCATAACATGATGATAGCATCCCACCTCTGGGTTTTCGCTTCGAACCTGTTATTCATTCAAACAAGCATCTTTGTTTTCTCCTTCCCTTGAGTTAGATGTGTGCAAACCTCACAGAACTGTCCTTTGACAGAATTATTCCTACGCTCTTTCTAAACTTAGATCATTTTCAAAACTGGAGGCAATAAAAGCCCAGTGTTGAAGGTAAGTAGTACCTTTCGTGAGTAAAATATAATTGCCCTAGCAGGCAAAGATTTTCACATCAATGCCCCCTGTACCCACTACAAGGCTGGTTGGAATCAGATATGTCCTGAGATTTTGGTGAGTGGAGCATCTTCCAAAGGACACTTACCAATCCCAAGAGACGTGGACCAGCTTAATGAAGACACCCACGACTACTCTCCAGAAAGCTCATTCATTAATTCCACCTCCCGACCTTTTTGTGCCTACACAGTGTATCGTTTTTATGCCTCTGTTGTTTGACACATTCAGTTGCCTCTCTCTGGAGTTCACTTCTCCCCTTCTCGGCCTATGAAGTTGCTCTTCACACTTTGAAACTCAACTCAAATGACACCATGTTTGGGAAGACTTTCAACTGAACCAAAGAGAATAAGGCACTTCCTCCCTGTTTCCCAGAGTGCTTTGCATATGATAGCTACCAACACAGAGCTGTGTCTTCCCACACTAAAATCTGGGCTGCAGCACATAGGCACCATGGCCTCCAG